CCTGAGGTCAGGGACACAGACAACTGAAGACAGTGAGGAGAGCGAGCAGACCTGCTCCACCGCAGGTGCTCCAGAGGACAGCTCGCTGCACAGATGCACCAGCCAAGATGCTTATTGGCCCAGTGCCCAGGCCCTGAGCAGACTGTTCATCATCCATCCAAATAGGGAGTGCAGGGGTGGGCATCGGAGAGGGGACGGCCAGAAGGGAGGCACACCTGTTGGTCCACGCGCACCGTCGGAAGGAGCGACAGCTTCCCCACTGTAAAAGCCCCAACCTCACGCTTGTCGACAAAAAGATGGATTATGGCAAGAATTCTAGCTTACACGAGGCTATGTGATTTCCTAGTTACGTGAACAAGTGACTCACACGGGATGACATGCTTTCCGACACCAAAAGGAAGACGGAGTTAATCCTGCACAGAGGTCAAAAAGGAGGAGATGGTCACAAAGAACCCCCAGGTTCGGGGAGGCTGTGGAACCCACCACACACAGTGTCCTCCCTCCCTGCAGGCGGGGTATCACCTTCATCTCAACAAGGGGGAGCATGCAGAGGCTGGGCAGGCTATCCAAGGGGGCTGCGGCCCGGGGAGCAGCACAGCACAGCCCAGCCCCACATTAGATCCATGTCCAAGCGCCCTCACCTTGGCAGCTGGTTCTAGGTGAACACATGTCCTCAGCTGGCCTGGGAAGCAGAGCCTCAGGACTCTTCCAGAAGAAACCTTTACAGGAAGAGGAAAAGCTCCCTGCACCCAGACTCATTGCCTTGGGCTGCCGAGTCCTGTGAACCAGTATGGAGCCAGCCGGACTCAGGGTTTGAAGCATCCCCCACGAGCAGCCCCAAGGACAGCACACACAGCTCTGGTTCCACACACTGCTGCACCCATCTGTCCAAAGCCAGAAAGAAGCCCCACCGACAGGTTTGTTGGGGAACACAGTCCACTGAACCCATCTTTCAAATTCTCATCTCAAGAAACTGAGGCCCTTCAGTGACTCCGATTCAGGCTGGAGGTATTTGCTGTGGGTGTGTGTGTGTGTGTTTTCACCGAACTTACCTCATCATCAACTGTTTAGTGAACATTCTCAGCCCCACGAACAGAGGTGACGGGCAGGAGAAAGCCAGGAGACCTCTGAGCCATGCGTCACTCACTTGGTGACCACAGTGCAGCCATTCAAGCTCTCTGGGCCGTGGCCTGGCCGTGGCAGTCGGGGCGCCTGAGTTAGCTCAAGGGTACATTCTTTGGCGGCATTCCCTGAGACCTGGGACAGGTGCTGCCCCACCTCCTCCCTCCTTTCCCTGGGGCCCTCAAAAGGCACCAGAAATGTTAAAGGCTAACGGCCACTGCAGGGGACACCCCAAGCAGAGCTGAAAGAAATGTGTCAGTCTCTGCTTCACCTGAAGTCCTAGCCTTGCAGCCTAGCCAAGAAGGACAAATAATCAACGAAGCCATTTATTTAGTCCTGTGCCATGTCAATACCTCTTTCTTGTCTGGATTTTCAACTTTCACACCACTGTCAGTTATTAAAAGTTACTGAAAACACCTGATTATCAGTAAAGCGCTAACTCAGGCCTGGCTCATACTCCCCATCACCCTAGAGCTGCAGTCCCGACTTGGCTTGGCTCAAGGGGTCTGGAGACAGGAAGCGGAAATGAAGTGTGGTCTCTCTTTGTAAACAACTCTTTAATGTGGAAACAGCAGTACGTTTTTACTGTAAAACACTTAGACAATACAGACACATGAGAGGAGAACTAAAGACGAAGCCCCACCACCCATGTCTCCCAGCAAGACACTGCTGTGCTTTTTTTTAAGTAGGCTCCACGCCCAACATGCAGCCCAACACGACCCTGAGATCAAGACCTGAGCTGAGATCAAGAGTCGGACACTTAAGAGAGACTGAGCCACCCAGGCTCCCTGGTGTGCATTTTTTTAGCCAAAACACGAGATCACACTGAACCTGCTGCTTAGGGGGCTTAGGTTTCTGAACCAACGCTCCCCACCTCTCCACTTAAGATTACAAGTGTTACGCCAGAGCAAACTTTCTCTCCATCAACTCGGAAACACAATTCATGACCCAGATCTGCTGTGCCTGGCTCCACACTAGCTTATAAAATGGCAAGGACCCATAATCCTGACCTGGTTCCACTGCTCAGCTGAACAGGAGAAGAGCCAGAATGGAATGATTCGTCTGTGCCAAGGTGCCACAGAATGTGCACAGGCTATCCTCAGTCACTCACTCTCCAGCGGGACTGACCCACATAGTTAACACAGAACGATGACCCTGCAAGAGGCTCAGACAGAGGCATTCAGTTATGGACTCCCCACTGGACAGCTCCTAACGGGACGAACAGGGAAATCACAAGCTCCCTCCCAACTCGGACAAGTCCCTGTGGCTCTGCTGGTTGTCTCATCTTCAGGCAGCCTGCCAAGAGTGACCAGCAGCCTCTTGCCATCCGGAAATACGTGCCTGTCACATAGGCAAAAGAGATGCTGTGGTGCTGATTAAGGTCAGAGACAGGGTATGGGGACCAAGGGCATCTGGAATATAAACAGGGAGGAACCACAAAGGGAAACGATCATTTTGTGGTTAAAAGTTGAAAGAGAACAAAAATCTACCAGGAGTGACGTGATTTAAAGTTCCCAAGGAAATCCAAAAGCTTCCTCCTGGCTGTGACTGGCTCCTCGGGGGGGAGACCAACAACCCCCCACGTACACATGGACGCCTCTGTGCAACGGGAAGTGACCCTGGAAGGTACACCAGAACAAGTGGAGGCTGGAAGCCAGGGCCAAGTTGAGACCCCACGGGTGTCAAGCGGACAATCAGATGGGCGAAAACCAAGAACCTGAGCCAGGCAATGATGGCACCAAATGGGCATATGTGTGGATCCCACCCCGCCCCCGCCTTCCTGTCCCCATGACAATGTCCATGAATTCCAGGCAGAGAGGTGACCACATTTCACACCCACTGGCACCACACAGGAATTTCCCATGCTTTGTAGCTGTCAATCTCAGCTCCCCTTGAAGGAGACACTCCAGTGAAATCAACTGGCAAGATGAAGAATCCAAATGGTTCCAACCCTGTCCTGAATCAGGGAAGGATATTCTCAGGCTTGTCTCAGCCCCCACCCTCAGACCCTGAGGCCTGGAGCACTCCGGGAAGGGACTGACACGACTGCTCCAGCCAAGCCCAGAGAGAGCCTGGTGAGAGGTGGACAGAGCTACGCATGCACAGCCTTCCGGAATTCTGGGATAGATGGATCTTCAAGTGGGGACACAAGTCCAAGCACACCTCGGGGTGCCTGGGTGGCTCCGTCAGTTGAGAATCCCACTTTTGGGTTTGGCTCAGGTCACGATTTCAGGGTCTTGAAGAGATCGGACTCTGCGCTCAGCACGGAGTCTCATTGAGACTCTCTCTCCCTCTGCCCTCCCTCTCTCTCTAAAATAAAATAAATAAAATCCTTAAAAAAGAAGAAGAAGAAGAAGAAGTCGTCCAAGCACACACCTTGTAAAGAAGGCTAAGGTGTCTGGGAACATACCCGCCTTTTGTGCAGGCAGCCACTTGCACTGAACTGGTTCTGAGCCAGCAAGATTACAGTGTGAGTCAGTCACCTAGGTATCAAAATACAGCGAGATCCAGAACACAACACCTATCTCCGCAGACCAATACGGAAAAAACAATGACAAAATCTCAACTCCAGAGATCAGGGGCAGAACAATGAGAAGGGTGCCTCTGACCAGATCAAATACGGGGGGCTGGAACAGATGGGGGTGACTTGGGGGGGTCAGGGGAGAACAAAAAGATTCACTGTGGAAAGGGGCAGAGTAGGTCTTACCAGTTCTCATCACAAGAAAACAATGGTGACTCCGTCAGATGATGGATGTGGGGCAAATCCACCGTGGGATCACTGCACGATACACACATAACCCTAACCCTACCCCTAACCATATGCAGGGTTATAAGTAACTGTATCTCAACAAAACTAGGGGAAACATCATCCAAACTTTAAACTGGAAAGGGAGAGGAGACGATGTTTTGCTGCCTCCTGCCGCAAGCAGATGGCCTCTGGCCTCACACGCACACTCTACAGAAATCACATCTAACGGTCGGCAGCCAGAAGCACGGGAAGTCAGTGAGCTGTTCATGGCCTGTGTGGGCACGTGCGTGCATGGGAACGCATGAAGAGGTGGCTTTTCACGGTAGAGTCTGTGTGAGAGAAGGGAGAGCTTCCAGAACATAGGGATGGTCAACAAGGAGACTTGAGACTGTCTTTCCCTGGGGTCTTTACAAAACAATAAAACACCCACCTGTTCACATCCTCAATTGGCAGGGAAGGTGTTCAGCTTCCGGGAAGAATGTGCCCACGAGAGCCCTAGGTATGATAAAAATGCCCACCTCACAGCAAGTCAGACTGGAGGGTGACTGGTTCTGCTGGCCACCAGCAAGAGACGCATAAAATCAGAGAAGGCAAGGTCCAGGTGTCAAAGCGATTTACATTTCTGCCTTCAGAAATGCAATTTATGGGGCGCCTGGGGGGCACAGTTGGTTGAGTGTCTGACTCTTGGTTTCAGCTCAGGTCGTGATATCAGTCCTGAGATCGCACGGGTTCCTCGCTCAGCGGGCAGTCTGCTGGAGATTCTCTCTCTGCCTCTCCCCTGCCTCGCACACGCTCTTCCTCTCTCAAATTAACAGATAAAGCTTTAAAAAAAAAAAAAAAACCCAGAAAAAAAGGAAATGCAATTTATTGCCAACTATTAAACAAACAAAACATGTTCTATGGTATTTGTAAATTTATGTTCTCCTCATTATTCTCTAATCAGACCACTGAGTTATTTGAGAAAACACTGACTAAATGTTTTGTAGGCCACCTTACAAACAAAACCTTTCTGATACTGTTCTGCTGTAACTTTTCTGAAAACAAAATTTCAAGAGAAGGTTCCAATTCTCCATGGCTAAGAACAGATCTCCAGTGGTTTACAACCAGAGCGCGTGAATGGACACCTTGCTTACAGCCGAAGACAGAGAACGTTCTGATCTGCCCCATCTACCACGACCAAACAGATGGCCATCACACTCTTGAGGATCTTGGCCTCTGGCTGCGAAGCCAGACCAAGCTCCCCCCAACCCAGAAAACTGGGGAAAGCCCATTCTGCAAGTCAACAACCACCACCGCAGTTCTTCCCTCGCTGTGCAGAGAGGAGGCACAAGAAGAACCTGGAGAAGCCACATGTCCCTGTGGCTGGGCCGAGAGCTGCTCTTTGTGGTCTCCTCAGTCCCACTGAGTGAGAAAGGAGAAGCCAGAGGTCCTGTTCCCAACAACAAATATGATCAAAGGACCATGTCTGCCTTCTTCACTCAAAGGTTCTCAAAGACTTCAGAAACATAAATTCATTTTAGTACAACCCATCAGCCATGGCCTTTGAAAGAAAACAACCCCACTCAGCACCATTCTTCATCTTTTGGTAACAGAAAGCCCGGTGCTGGTAGTGACAGGACTGTGTGGAGAACCTGCTGCTGGGTGACATGGGGACAAGGCGCCCCGAGGGGACCACAAGGTTGGTGCCTCAGCCAGACATGAATGTTAGGCTGCCACCACCTACTTTCCAGGAGACCTCTCTCAGTCCAATCACACGGGCTTGTGCGGGAAGGACCACCGCCCAGACACAACACAGGCAAACTGGGACAGTGAACTATCTCCAATATGGGTGCCGCTTGGTCATTCTCATTTCTGTCAATGCCACGAGCTACCCCAGGGTCACCAAACCTCTACAAGAGACTGTGGAGGGTCAAACTTTAATATCTGAGCTAATCTCATTAGAGAAGAAGGAACTCTAAGCCCTCTCAATCGGCTTTAAAAAGTTAAGGACTACAATCTCAACAAAGTCGTGGAAAGTAACTGGCTTTGTCCTATTTGCCAAAGCCAAAAGGGGTGCCAGGGTTTCCTTATTGCTCCTCAGATTTTCATGTTTTATTTATTTATTTTTCATTCATGAGGTATTTACTAAAATAACACATTTAGGGAAAAAAATCAATACAATGTATATATACATCATTAGTGAAAACTGTATACCATCATACAAAAAGATTTTATTTTGGGAAAGTGATTCCTAATTTATGCCAAGTTTTACTTTCAGAAATAAAACCACAAAACAACACAATCTCATCCAGTCTGAAAGGCTGGCATGCTGAGCAGGGAATGTTCTTATTCTTTGTAGGAGCTCCTTCTTTGCACTGTCAGGTACCAGGGCTCTGCCTTTTGGTGTGATTTCAGCCACCAAGTCATCAACAGTAACATGTTCTAGTCCTTTTTCTTTAACTACCTCTTTACAGTGTACCTTCAACTGGTCCTTCCAGCCACATTCAATTAATTTAGCTCTCAGCAACTCTTTGAGATGTTCTCTTTCTCCAGTTTCTATCAACTTTTGGTTAATCGCTGCTCTCATCTGCGCATCTTTGTTCATCTTGCTAACCTACCACACTCTGCGGCTACCCGGACCTAGGACCTTAGTAGCTCCAGATTTTCATGTTTTAAGTAAAGCCCTTACTGATTAAAAAATACTGGACTTCAGATGAACAATTTATCTACTTTTAATGTGGGCCAAAAAAATAATAAACTCCACAGTGCAAAAATGAATTCTTGTGGAGAACCACATTTCCAGAAGTTAGGTGACGAAGAGTGACAAGGCCGTAACCTTTCTTCCTTTCCGCAGCAGGACATCGAGGCTTTCAAAGGCAGAACAGGCAGTCCCAGGGAACCTGCCCATGCTCCTCCTTGCCCCCAACGGGGACACGACCGCTCACCAAGGCCTTGCTGCCCACAAGGCACCCTGTCCTCAGCTTTGGCGGCTGAGAACGGAGAAGCCAGCACGCCCTGGGGCAGAGGAGGCCTTCTCTTCCCTACAAGGATCGCTGCAGGAATGGGGCACTGGGAACGGGGGCACTGCTCACACGTGCCAGGGAACAGTGTTTCTACAAGAAGCCTGCAGGACCCATGTAATGACGGAGGTGCAAATCCTGACCCAGTGCAATCACCTCTCACCTTCTGGTAGGTGCAAAGAGCAGATACTTTTACAAGTTACAAACATTGTTATTTAAGGAAATATGGCCTTGACAAGCACAGATTATATCAAGCCAAAACAAAAACCCCAGTCATTTTCAGACAATACAAGGACTTCTTTTACACAGCATGTTCATAAACTGGAAACCCAAGGACTGCGGCCCATCGCTGGCCACCTGCAGGCAAGCGGACGTCTAGTCCTGGTGGCATGCCCCAAGTGCACGCCCCCAGCAGCGAAGACACTCTAAATCATTCGCTAACACCCGAGGTCAAGAGGCAGGAAGGGCTTCAGGTGTCAACACAGAGTCTGCCGGGCCTCCCAGCACCAGCTGTGGTCAGAAGCCGAGGGCGCCCCACGCAGAAGGCCCTGTGAGGAGCCAGCGGACTGCACTGCAGCCAGGCAGGGACCCGTGAGGCAGAAGAGCAGGGAGAGACCAACCACGCCGGCTGGCAAGGGTGAAAGCAGGCACAGTACCGGGCAGGAAAGGCACACAAGATTTCTGGGCCATAACACCAAGTTAAAGAAACAACACAGCCAGTCCAATGACTAATGCAGGCGGAATGTAAACACGGGGGAGGAAGGGTCAGGAGGCCGGCTTCTGGAAGAGCCACACTTGCTCCCTCCGCTCCCTCCTGCATGGAGAAGACAAGGCAGGCGGGACGCCTGTGAGGGGGGAGGAGGGGCTCCCGCAATTCACGCCACACACTTGTGAGTCTGAGGCACTTCTATTAAGACTGCACCCATCTAGTGGAACACTGTCGTAAACGTTCACTTGGGGGGAAAAAAGGACTGTACTCCTATTGGGTTCTTTTTTTTTTTTTTTTTTTTTGAAATAATTTCCACTGATAAAAAAGTGCAGAGTTCCTGTATACCCTCCACTAGGCTTCCCCTAACATTAAAACCACACATCATCACAGTGAAATGATCAACTCCAAAGACCCACAGATACCACGCTATTAAAAAAGCACAGGCCTTACTCCAATTTGACCATCCTGCTCCAGCTCAGGCCCCGGGCTATACTTAGGGTCACATTCCCTTGTTTTCCTTGTTACTGTTTAATGATATAAAATGAAACAACAGTATTTAAAATGACATGAAACAGAGCGGAAGCAGTTTCTTCTTTGCATGCAGGTCTGTCAAACATGCACAGAATTTATTTAAAAAACAAAAAACCCTCAAGAGGATTAAAAAGTCAGAAGGCTATGTGTGTGTGTCAATGGGAATATTTAGATCAGAGAAGACATAGTTTGAAGGAAATTATCCAGAGGTGTGTAGAAGTCCCCTTGGGTCTTCAGAAAGCAGGAAACAACCCAGGGGCAGGCAGGGAAGCACGCACAGATGAGAGGCAGGGCTGGGCTCCGAAGGCCAGAGTGCGGCACAGGGCGAGCACTAACCCAAAACTGAGCGAGGCCCTGGCCTGCCTACATCGTAAAAGCAAGACCTGAAAGGAGCAAACTGTTTCCAAGAACTAACTGGATTCCAGAACAAAGCCCAGGAAGATTTACAGGAATACAAAACTATGCAGCACCCACCGAGGCAAAACTCAGCGTCTGGCATCCAGATACTCCCAGACATGAAAGCTGGAACGATCTGAGCAAAAAATCAATAGCATGGTACAAAATAAATATACATGAGTCCATACCGACATCAATAAATCACTGAAGAAACAAAGAAGTGGGCTGAAACACAAACCTTCCCCACAAGGAGACGCTCCCCTCCCCTTGCTTGTGTGCTAGGCTGTGGGCCTGCTCTGAAGGACAGAGGACAAAAGCGGGGCTGTGACTACACCATGCAGGAACCTGGCAGTTGCCCCCATGACCAGGTGGCCGAGGCTAGCCCCCACAGGCCACGGGGACAGCACACACCCCAGACCGGATGTGAGGAGAAGACACACCCTCTCTGTGGTCATCTCTCCCCAAAACCAAAAACCCAGTCTACGAAGAAAACGTCACACAAACCCAAAAAGAGGACATCGTACAGAACACTGGCTGGCGCTCCTGCAGACTCCCAAGGTCATGAGGACCAGGAAAGACTGAGAAGTTGTCCCCGAACAGAGGAGACCCAGGAGACAGGACGATCCAATGTGCTGGATGCGGTCCTGGGACAGAGAAGGGACATTAGTAGGAACAGAGGAAATCTGAATAAAGTCTGCACTTGTACTGAGAGCAATGCACCGATGATGGTTGCTGTTTTAAGGAAGGTATCATAGTAACATGAGGTGTCAGCCCTGAGAGGAAGCCGGAAGAGAGGTGTACAGGAACTCTCTATTATCTTTATAACTTTTCCAAAAATCTGAAAAGTTTTCCAAAATAAAAAGTATACTGAAAAAAATACCCCCAGGCATGCAATTAAGAAAATACAGCACATAATAAGAAAAACCAGTCAAGCGAAACCAACCCGGAGTTGACACAGATGGCAAAATTAGCAGATGCAGACATCAGTCAGTTAATACATGTGAACTAGAGACATGCTAGGTAGGAGCCTCTGGGGGTGAAGACTATGCCCGTGGGACAGGAGACACACACCAGGTGGGACTGCCAGCAACAGAAGCATTCAGAAGCGAAGACCGGGGACACTGAGCACAGATCAGAGGGGATGCAGAGAAAGAGCAAGTTAGGGTCAGCAAGTGGGAAGCTGCAAGCACCTCAACAGCCGAGCACTGGTGGCCCCACAGGGGTGAGGGGCAGAAAGATATGTGAAGAAGTAAAGCACAGAAGTTCAAATTCTGACGGAAAACCTGTAAACTCGGAGATCCAAGGCACTCAGTGAAACCCAAGCAAAGAAACATGAAGGACACCACACCCCAGGCCACCCCCAGAGAGCAGCCAGAGCAGAACCAGCAAGCAGAGGAGGGAGATGGGACGGCAGCAGGTGCTCGTGGGGAACATGGTGAGCACATGCCAGGCAGCATCCGTGGAGAACTGAAAGAAAACATCCGTCGTCCTCCAACTCAACAGCCCCTGAAAATCTTCCACAGGTGCTGCTGAGGCTCACACAAGTCTATGAAGACGCACACCAGCACCACGGCGCACTCCAGATGGGAGGGCTGCCAAGTATGGGAACTGTCGGGTAAGGGTGGTGATGGGGTCCTTCCACGGGAGGGAGAGGACTCTGGGTGCAAAGAGAAACCTTCACCAGAAGTGCAGAGCACCAGAAATGACAAGGACACAGCAAATACGTCAGACCTTCCTTCTGAAGACGGTCTCTTGTTTTGACAAAAACAACAGCAACCTGGTCCATGCAAGTAAAATGTATGACAACAGCAGGTAGGCTGGGGGAGGAGACGTGGAAGGACACCATTCTAAGGTCCTCACGCTATGAAAGTAGTACTTGACAGTACATTTAAGCCCAATCACATCAAAAATCATCTAAACACCCATTAAAAGGGAAAGACTGTCAGTTGGTTACACTCCTTACTAATTTTCTTTCCGTCTGAAAATTTTCAAAATACAAGTTTTTTGAAAGTACATGGATGGTGGGGCACCTGGGTGGCTCAATTGGTGAAGCGTCTGCCTTCGGCTCAGGTCATGATCTCAGGGTCCTGGGATCGAGGTCCACACTGGGCTCCCTGCTCAGTGTGGAGCCTGCTTCTCCCTTTCCCTCTCCCCACTCCATGCTCACTCTGTCTCAAATAAATAACCAAAATCTTTAAAAAAAAAAAAAAAATTGGAGGACAGGAATAGCAACCATGTACTTTTTTTTTTTTTTAAAGATTTTGTATTTATTTGACAGAGAAGGAGAGAGAGAGAGAGAGGGAGAGCACAGAGGGAGAATGAGAGGGAGAAGCAGGCTTCCCGAGGAGCAGGGAGCCCAATGCGGGACTTGATCCCAGGACCCTGGGATCAGGACCCAAGCCAAAGGCAGCCGCTCGACCAAATGAGCCACTCAGGTGCCCCCCACCACTTTTTTTTTTAATTCTTAAAATAAGAAGGAAAGGTATGTGAAAGTTGGCTTTAAAAGATGGGACTTGTTAAGTTCAGAAGAGAAGTAGCAAATATAGCCAAAGTGCCCTTCTTCAGAGGCCCTCACCATCGAAACAACACAAATCGAGAAATTTTGAATCACCCTTAGATGTCTTTGCTGGACAGTGCTATGCCAACTTCCCTCATGAATGTCAGGCTGAAAGACAAAGTGTAGTTACCCCAGGACCCGACCAAGACCACCAGAGGTCAAAAGTATTGGGACTTTCAACATGAATGGAGCTAGACGGTATTACGCTAAGTGAAATAAGTCGGTCAGAGAAAGACAAACACCGTATGATCTCACTCATAGGTGGAATTTAAGAAAACAAAGGGGGTAAAAAAGAGGCAAACCAAGAAACAGACTCTCAACACCCTGATGGTCACCAGAGGGGAGGTGGGGGGGTGGGGGAAACAGATGAGGGGGATGAAGGAGAGCACCTGTCGT